CCCCGCCTGATCCAGCCCTGTGCCCCCCACTCAGGCTGTGCCTACAGCCCCTGGCCACCTCCGAGATTACCCCTTCCCCTGCACATCCCCCCTCCCACTGTCATGCCTGATCCAGGCGGGATGCCCTCTGCAAAAGCTTTGTCCTTCCCCGCCCTGGAGGGCAGGTGCGGGCTCCAGTCCACCCAGTAGCCCCAGCAGTGTCCCATGGAGGTTGCTCCCCCGTGTCCCCACCTGCCATGAGCTGCCGAGGACGTGCTGGGTGGGTGCAGGGCTCTGGAGCGAAGGAGATCCCTAAGAACAAAGCAGCTGCTTGTGTATGGGGCGTGCTGGAGGCTGGCGGCTTCCCCTAGCCCCAGGGGGGCTGCAGTGCTCAGCCCCCTCCAGACTGGGGCTAGATACTGGCAGCTGGAGCCCAGCAGTCGGGAAAAGCAGATCTCCAGCTTGGGAGCCAGGAAAAGGGCACTGCTGACATGACTGGCACCCGAAAGGTGACACCCATGTCTGCCGCAGCAGAGCTGCCCTCTTTACCGAGAAGCTGCTGCACTTTTGTTTGCATGGGATTAAATGAAGCCACCCCTCTTGCCTCTCAGCACTGGGGGGGTCCCCCCACTGACTCCCCACCCCCAGCTAAGGTGCGGGGCTGATGCACAATGGCCCGTAAAATGAATCCCCCTCCTAAGTCAGGATCGGGGCCTTGGTGTCACCATGGGTACCTGTCTGCTGCAGCAGGGCTGTGAAATGTGACCTGTGGGAGCTGCGTCCTTGGCTGGGGGGTGGCGGAGGGGGGATGAGTTGTTAGCTGCCATCCAGGGCAGAAAGGGGGTTCCAGCAAGATCTGTAGTGAGGGGCTGTGACCCCCCAAGACCCCACTACCCCAGGGGTTATGGGGGGCTGTGTGCAAGCTCAGTGGGAGGCTAAGGCCTGGAGTTTTCCTCAAATATTGACTGCTTTCTAGATGTGCTGGCATGTGCCAGTGGGAGCAGGGGGCTCAGCACATCTGGCAGGTGCCAGCAGCAGGCTGGCCCCTGTGCATCCCACGGGGCAGGGTGGGCCTGGCATGGCCTGAGTTCTGCCCAGCATGGCTGTGCGTGTCCGAGCGCTTTCGCTGGGCTCCAGGTGGAAGGAAAGGGAGGATGGCCAAGCTGGGCAGGAGGCGCCATGGAACAGGAGGAACTGGGAGGACTGGGGGAATGTTCCTGATAGGAGAGAAACTGGTTCTGAATGGGGAGCAGGCTCTATGGGACCTGGAGGGACCTTGAGGACATGGATTGGTTGGTTGGTTGGGAAGTAAATATGTTAAGACCCCCGTATCCCCAGCCAGCAGATGCAGGTTCACGCACTGTGGCACTGGGTGCAGTCTGTCTGACCTAGACATTCCCAGGCAGGTGTATGCAGGGCACTGTAGCTCCTCAGCAAAGGGCCTGCAATATGTCCCTGGTGCTCATGGAGCTCCCAGTCCTGGGTGCACCTTCGCAACCCTGGAGGCGGGAATCACTGCTTTGACCCCCATTTGCCTTTCAGAGCCAGGACTGGAGCAAGAATGATGAGAAGCTCCTGCAGGCCGTGGACTATAATGATGCCGAGCGCGTCACCACCCTGCTCGTGCGGAAGGGCCTCATCCCCACCAAGCTGGACTCGGAGGGCAAATCCGCGTGAGTGGTGCCTGGGTTGGGAGTGATGGTCTGGTCCCACACTCTGGCAGCAGGGCAGAAGGCACAGAGGAGGCTCACCAGCCCTTTGAGCTTGCTGTGTCCCAAGCCAGTGCATTGTGCAGGCTGGGCTCGGGGTGTGCTAGAGCAGCCCCGAGGTTGCTCTAACATACGCTCTGCCCTGCTGGCCCTACATGAGGTGGTTGGTAGGTGTTTCTAGCCCAGGGACAGCTAACAACTCATCAGAGACTCTTTCAGGCCCCTCCCTTGGGCATGATATAATAATGCAATCAGAAATCCCAACATAATAATGCGATTCTGATATACTAATATAATATAATTATACAATCAGAAACCGGGGAGCACAAACTAGAGTTCATCCCCTGCCTGGCACAGGCATCTGGCCTTTTATGCCTGCCCCAAAGGCAGTCACTGCTGTCATTCCCAGCTCTCAGCCTTCAGAGGAAGCCCAGTCCCTGCACCCTCCACAGCTGGGCTTGGCTTTCTCTTCAAAGGAGAGGCCAACCTGCTTGTAAGGACGTTACCACCTCTATTTATAAGGGGCCTTGTGGAAATAAGCCTGCATGATCAGAAGTTTTTAAGTAACCCTACAAAAACAAGTCAGGGCATTTGTCAGGGGAATGGGTTTTGTTTCCAAGTGCAGCGTCTTCCTAAGGGTTTGGGGCAACCTGGAGACTCCTTGGATCTGGCTCACGGGGGGCAAGGGGGTGTTTCTGGAAGGTGATGGTGTCTCCCTGGCTTTGGCACAGGTTCCACCTGGCCGCCACGAGAGGGAACGTGGATTGCCTGGAGGTGATGCTGGCTCATGGGGTGGATGCCATGACCAAAGACAGCTCCGGTAAGGCGCACTCCCTTCCCTGCAGGGCAGGCTTGCACACGGCTGCTCAGGGCTGGCTGGGGCTGTGCAGAAGGGACCCAGGCCAGCTGTATGAGGGCAGTGGGAGCTTTGTGCCTCTGCTGCTTGGACTTACCCGATGAAGGATCCAGCCCTTCACTGGGGGGCTGCCAAAGCTCCTTGC